AGAAATATGGCTGAAAATAACATGCCCAAAATGAATTGAATGTATCTCAAGAACTACAGAGTTTATTTTAATTGTTTTGGTATCAAAACAAAGGTAAGACCCTAGAGAATATATTACAGCTCTAAAAACCACCCTGCCTGTTACTGAGGAAAGTAAATTAATATGATACACAGCAGAAATTAAGAAAAGAAATCTATTTCCGCCTAAAAAAAACAGTTCAATATATTAAGATTCCTTTCAAAGCAATGCAGATGAAATCCAAAACATGTAGTAAACAACAGTACACAGTCTGACCTTTTACTGTGCCAAGTTTCATGAAAAAAAAAGTTAATCATATGAGTTTTAGAGAGGTAATACTTGATAAAAATCTAGGCGGACCTTCCAAATTAGCCATTTTGGCACATTTTGTGCCATTTGAACTTTCTCAGGTTTTTTTCTGTAGGTTCTGTTTCAATCATTTATTCTTATCATATAATAAATGATTATTTATCATAGATAAGTAATTACATCTAATAATTGTTTTTGGAGGTTCCTTTTAAAAACACACATTGCATTCATTCATAAAAAGAGAAAAAAATAGACAAATTGTAATAGTCTGAAACTGGAACAGATTAACTCACAATAACATTTCAAATAGAATTATATAACAATGAAAATGCAAATAGCAATGAAAACTAATTTGTCAAAATGATATGATCACATGAAAAAACTAATATATCTCACAATTACATTACAATAACAATGCGCTCTGCGCGTAAAATCATGCAATTCTCCATTCAGACGTTCAAAATTACGCTGGGCAGTTTCTCGGGAACCCATTGGCCAATTTTGATGATTGACATGTCTTTCGAACCGTCAGAGCCAATAGAATCCGAGGGCGTTGACATGAATACGGAACCTAAAGCCATTCACCAATTACAGGGCGGAAAACGCATGTGACGTACATTGACGGAGTTCGCCTCTAGATTTTGTATAAGGTAGCTAGGAGACGGAAGAGGCTCTGGGCGGAGCCGAAAACAATGTGAGACGGACGCAGGGAAAATGGATTATCGAACCAAGTGGAAATGTTTAGTCTAATAAGGATTATGACCACGAAACAGCAAAGGTAGGACTGAATTTATGCTTTTCGCTTCGTGAAATGAGCTATTTCTTTTTTTCTTCTGTAGCTGCTGGTTCAGTGAGTTTTGCACGTAGCGTGGTGACTCTGGTATTGTTGGAAACGGCAGAGCTTCGGCTTTACTCTGATCGATAGTTTGTGAGGATCGGGCCACCTAGCTCTTTCACTGTTGCGTTTTTTACCGGGTATGCCTCGTTAGCATCTAATTACGTTTTTTTTTTTTTATCAAGCTGCTTAGTGTTCAAGCTGGGTGTTGTTGAGGTAGAAAATATTGTTTCTGTCATTTAGAGGAGCTTTTCCCCGATCCGTGGATATGCAATATGCCTATATTGATAAATGTATAGCATGTGTTTTCAATTGATCTTGTTGCGGCAAGGGCCGAGGACCCAAATTTGGGTCCTCTCGTGAATGACAGGT